TAGCCCCACAGAGGGATTTATTATTATATAATGGGATATATTATAAGTAGCAATAGTGAACGACGATTTCACGAGCATACATTTATATCTATGTTGAATTTTTGTTTCCTACCGAGGCTAGTTTCAGAATTCAAATTGTCTCTATATCTCTTCTCTTGTTAATTACATTTTTCATGTTACACTTGTCGCCCTACATATTCAGTACATATTTCGTACTGACGCATTTTTATGCGCTGTGTTCATGCCCACAGGTTCGGATAGACAGAGCGGCGTGCCTTCTCAGTAGGACCCCCAGGATCAGCGTTGGGTTTCGCACTCCACTTCTTCGGAGTTGCTGACTTTGAGTCCATAGGTACTATTACATATGTATATGTGTGGTTTTGGGCATGTCGGGGGCTTGTCCCGCCCTGTTGAGATTGTCTTACACTCTTAGAGGGTTGCAGACTAGCGGTCATTGTATATATATATTTTTCGTATGGCCCTATCGGCCTCCTGGATAGCTGTTATAATGTGGTTGCAGCCTTGTTGGTCTAGGTTATATATATATGTCGTGTTGGGCTCTTCTGCCTGTAGGTTATTATATTTCAGATCATAAGTTGGTTCGCTCGGGCCTTCGGGCATCGGGTGCCAGCCACACCTCCCAAGGTTGGGGTGTGACATGTTATCCCCTCAGCAGCAGCAGTATCTCTCTCTAATTTCACACAGGAAGCAGATGCAACAATTGATTGATTACCACAATTTAGTACATGTTTCTTTTTTCTTTCTTGATCAGTAGCTCACTAAGTCTTAAACTGTAATTATATCAGGTATCTCACCTAGCAAAGATTGGCCCTCGTTGAACTCAGATGATGCTTTATTTTTACATTTTTGCTCCTCCTCAGCCAATTTAAGTTCCCTTTTATCCTGGGAAGCATATGTTCTTTTCAATATTTCTATCGTTGAAAGCTGCTCAGGTGTCAGCTTTATTCCTTGAGTATGTGTTAGTACATTCACCTGGAAATAATTTGAATATAAGATAGATTTATAAGAAGCAGATAAAAACACACTGTTCACCATTTAACATCACTGTGTAGATTTTTGTCTTCGTCCTGCTCAACTTGAAATCTTTAGACTCTAGCATATGTCTGCAAACCTCCAACCTAGTGTTAACTCCGCCTCGTGTCTCATTAATAAGTACTATATCATCTGCAAATAACATGTACTATGACACCTCACCTTGAATGTGATGCGTTAATACATCCATCGCCAAGGCAAATAAAAACGGGCTAAGAGCTGGACCCTAGTTCCCGAGTCTCCTCCCACTATCCTAACTCGGGTCTTGGTTCCATCATACATGTCCTCAATCGCGGGACTTTGTCGTATGCTTTTTCTAGATCAATACACACCATATGCAAATCTTTTTTCCTCTCCTCTACCAATTTCCTTACAAGATGGATGGCTTCCGTTGTCGATCGCTCCGGCATGAATCCGAGCTGGTTCTCGGAAATAGACACTTTCCTCCTCACCCGCATCTCCACCACCCTCTCCCAAACTTTCATAGTGTAGCTTAACAGCTTGATACCCCTATAGATATTACAATTTTGAATATCACCCTTGTTCTTGTACAACGAAATCATCGTACTGCACCTCTATTCTTCGGGCATTATCGCTGTACTAAAAATGACGTTAAACAATAGCCACTCCAAACCAGCCCTACCCGCGCTTTTCCAAAATTCAACCGGAATCTCGTCTGGCCCGGTCGCTCTTTCCCTGCTCATCTTGCACATATCCGCCTCGACCTCCTTGACCTCCTTGACCTTAATACGCCTACAATACCCAAAATTTCGTCGATTCTCAGAGTGCTCCAAAACAGCTAGCATAATTATCTTGTCCCCCTCTTCATTCAAGAGTTTATGAACGGCATATCAAATAAAAAATATATAGCATTGTTACGGCATTTAATCTTTAAGCAAGATAATAGAACCTTGAATCTTAGCTTCAATCTCCATCTCCATCACTTGCTCTGAATTGAATCTTCTCAAGAAGGGCAAAAGTTTTTGCAAGATAAATTTAGAGTATTGAACCTTTTCTTCATTGCTAATCTCAAATTGTAAGTTCTTCAAAGCCTGCAAGAAATATATAAATAAGAGCTTAGCCTATACAGTTAACGTGTAAAATAGGACTGTAACTTAACAAAATTGGAACAGCAAAAGAAACCAACCCTAATCGGCCCGTCCAACCGCAAGCAAGCTTTACAATTACAATTTTGAAGACAAACAGGACAAGACTCTACAAAAGCCTCCTCAGGCATTCTAGGGTACCTGATTGTACATCACAAAGGGAAAAGGCACTCATGAGAAAAATCGAAAAGAAAACTACAAGATTGATAATTGGTGTTGAAGCTAACAATACAACAACTACTACTACAATGCCTTAGTCCCAAACAAGTCGAATCAGCTACATGAATCCTCACCAACCACGTCACTCTATTTAAACTCATCGCATGCCAATATTATGCAAATCCAAATAAAAAGTATTAGAAGTTTGTATATTTTCTAAATATATAAATCTCTGAAAGGCTAAACCACTCCTAAAAACCATAGGAAACATAACAATACTAAGCAAAAATAGATTGGATATATAACGCTTCAAGTTGTTAAAATGTTCTTCATGCTTAGCATCTTATCACTTGTGACAAAGAGGAGAGTGTTTGCCTCTTCATAAGTCTAACTTACCACTAAAAGCTCAAAAAAAGTTACTTCAAATAAACGAACACAGCCTATAACAATATATTAGGGTAAAAGTTTTTGGTACCATCTGGCGATGCAAGGAACACAGAATCGCTTAGTACTACAACGGGTACAGCGAACAACTCTTCCTTTATCATTCCTCTGATGACACATATTGGATTCTGATACCAAAATTGGTATCGATTAAGCAATAAAACAGTAAAGAAGGAGAGAATTGAGAAGGAGAAGGAAGAAGAAGAAGACTAGAAGGAGTTAGAGAGAAGATCAGAACTCTTTAGCATATCAAAAAGTGTGTAATAAGAGTTTACAACTTGCTACTTATACTCCTAAACAATCTACTGAAATGAAAAAATGCAAAATGAGCTGAGATTACATTCTAACTGAATTTCCTGCCAAAGCACTAAAATTCAAAAAGTAACAGCTATTCAAATTGTCCTACTCAGCAGCTGAGGTGACTTCCACGTCTGGTATCTCAGAATTATGGGTATCAATACCCCCCCCCCCC